GGATGGTTTTATCCATTAGAGAAACGTGGATGCCCTTCCACATAGGATGTAGCAATAATTGAAGGTTTCCTAGGAAACACAGAAAATGGGATATATGCAAAGAATGCACACAAAGTGCATTCATTCATGCTTTAGAAGTCTTTATTTCATTGAAAGACAGAATATTTGCTAAAAAAGAAACAAAGTTTACATTAATAATTAACAGGATGAGAAACTTAGTACTTTTTAATAGAGCTCGGGTATGTTTCTAACTCATTAAAGCCATTTCATCCAACTTGTGCAAGTCAAGCAGACACTCTCTTTTTTGCAATTAATGATCCTTTCTCTTTTTTTTTTCTATTAGAATTTGTTAGAAAGCAGAAGGGGATTTAGGTCTTGCTTTTTAAGAAGCAAAACTACACTTGTGGTTTGTGTAAGGAAATAAGGTGTAAGACCTTTTTATTTGATTATTTTAATTTTTGGACTTTTGGAGGCTATTTCTTATATTGTGCTGTAATGTTTTTTGATTAATTTACTGAGTGTTTAGTTTAAATTTAGTGTTTTTCATTTAATGGTGCCTGGTAGATTTACAAATTGCGGAAAAATATATTTAGTTGGATTTCTTCCCATGAAATAACATTTCAATTAGTTGAGCTCATGCTACACTTTCTATTATAATATTTTTAAGCATGAAATATCTTTAATGTTAAATGCTTCAGAATCTGATGCCTCATTTCAATATTGCAACTTCAGTAGCTTCATGAGTGCTGTGTAATTCAGTGCAGAGGAGGTTTAAAGCGCTGCTTAAAATGCAAATAAGACATCATGGAGAATACTACCTCTTTTATTGAAGTAAGCCTTAGTACAGGCTTTGCAGTAAAGGTCCTAGCAATGGGTTTGTTCTCCACTGGGGTACATAGCCTTTTTTCAGAGGTGTTTGCCTGCATTCAAGCTTTGTACCACAGATTAGCACAGTAAAAAGTGAGTTCTTTTGAACTTCTAAAATGCTGGTAACAATTGTAGAAGCTAAGCTACAGATTTAAAATTATTCTAGAAATAAATCATAGGTAATTTAAATGGCATTTATGTGATTATAGCAGATAAAGCATTTTAGAGGGAAAAGGGACTCATCTGGAAATATATGAAGCTGTAGTGTGAATCACATGGTTGAGCTCTCCTGCAGTCCCTGAGTATTACTGAGGCTCCATGGACAGATAGATTCATTTGCAAGTGTTATGCTTCAGAGTTCAGATGCTGTACGGTCTTGGATGGTTTTTTACTAGCTTAAGTTTGGACGATGGACCATTGTTTAGCCTTATATGCATTTCCATCAGTGATTTTATTTATATATGTATATAAAAATTACTTTTTCCCCACTGAAAGACAGCAGATGACATTGAAAATTTTTCAGTTAAGAAAAGGAAATTATATACTAAGTAGGATATTTATAAAAGGCAATATCAAAGCATAGAAAAATGTTTTAAAACAAGTGTTAAGGGGAAGGGGATTGGCCAGGCCTTGTATCTCATTTTCAGGAGTTAATTTCAGTCTTTTACTTCTCTTGGAAGTTTTTCTTGAAGGTCTTTACTTGATATTTTGGAGTGCCGAGCATGGTATCAATTGATACCTAGCAACATAAACATCAGCCCTTTCCTACAAGGAAAGCTTATGGTATTTATTTGTGTAAGTGCTGTTAAAATTATATTTAGATGGGGGGGGATGTTACATACAAGTTAGCAAAAAAAAATAAAATTCAAAGTTTGTGCAGCTTGCGCAGCTGACATCGGAGAGGTAAACTTAGGCATTTTTTTTATCCACACCTTATCTTTTATCAAATTTTGAAACAATATTTCTCCTTTGATGCTGTGCAACAGATATTTCAATATATAAAACACAACTGAATGAACTAAATAGTTGCATGCTGTTGCTCTCAAAATGTGAATAATAGAGCTTTATTGGCAGTGGTGATGTTCTGTTTTGTTTTTAAACAGTTTGCTTAACAATATGCTCTCAATAGCCTCTTTTTAGCACAAATGAAGGAAGCTATTCTACATCAGATTTAGGTCAAGAGTTTCAATTTCAAGAGACAATGCTGTCTGTCTTCTTTGAGGGTGATAGAATGTGGGATTTTACATCTTTGAGTTTAAAGCTTTTAGGAATTCTTTCCAACCACCAATAAATAAATTAATAAGTAAGACTAAGACAGTTGTTAGGTCCATTCAAAACAAGTATTTTTTAAAACAGAACATCACTTGTTTTCTACAAAACTGTGGTAATTTTTTTTTCTGTTACATAGGAAGGAAAAATCTAAGCAGAAGCTAAAATTTCAGAAATTTATACACCCCGTAGAAGTTTTGCAAAACGTGCACTCACTTCAATGTATATTGAGTGACTTGTAATAATGTTACTGAAGAAGAATGTATGTCTTGAAAATTATTCAGATTTACCATGACATCAGGAAATAGCATACTGATTATGCAGATGTAGATAATTGACACTCCCACTGAAAAGACTTCATTTTTAGACTATCCTTTAAATCCAAAAATTGTTTGCTTTTTTTTTTTTTTTAAACTCAGGAGAATATTTATAAACTCTTTCTTAAGAAGAAGTACGAGGAACATAACATGGCAGGGCTTATTCATTATTAATAGAGAGAGAATGATGATACAAATATTAAGAATTACAGTAATTTCTTAGTGATGGTCTGCAGCACCAAAGTTATGATGCTGAGTCCAAGAGTCCTCTTGTAGACATGCTGTCTTTTGTTAGAAATGAGATAGTACTGGAGGTTGAGGTGTCAGAAAAAGTAGTAGCTGAAAAAAAGCTTTTAATTTATAAAAAGGGAGTTAGTGGGCCATGAATTATGAAGCATCTTAGGAGGCAAGTGGCTCAGTTGCTAGCAGAGAATTAGCAAAGTTTTGTATAAATGGCACCAATAACTGATGGGAAACAGTTTTTCGTGTGAATCATATTTACACTGTGCAGTAGTTTGAGCCCCAAACCTTAGTAATAGGAGGCTATGAATAACAAGAATATTCAGCTTATGAGAATTGTTGCCAAACAGAGAGTACTGAAGGGAAATACAAATTATATTTTAGATTCCAATCATGCTTTCCTAATGGCTGCAATCACTGAGGAAGGAAGTGATCGGTTATCTCTATTGGTGATTGGTTATCTCTATGGGTACTGTTTTCCCCCAGTTTCCTATAACGTACCTGGTTGTAGGTATGGTCAGCAATAGAGTACTAAATTAGATGGACCCTAGATGTGTCCAAGAGTGGCATTATCTTTATGGCTGACTATATCTTTACCATGAAATAACTTTAATATTCAATGAAGTATATAACTGAAGAGTGCAATAATCTTGTATCTGTTTTCTTTAGAAGTGACGCTTCATTCTGCTTCATTTCTTCAGAAGTGATGCTTCATTTTATAATACATTTTGCACTTTTAAAGCCTTTTATTCTGATTTTTCAGTATCATTGCTCCTTCCATTTCTACTAGTATTATTTCTTAACTTCACATATACTCAGCAGGAGTAAAGCTTCTATTTCTGAGGAAGAACAGTGCAAAACTTGTGCATTTTCCTATTTATTTAGAGTGCAAAATGCATTGGGTATCAGGATTTAAAACCTCAAAGCTTGGGGAAGTCGTTCCTGCACAGGGAGAGAGGTATTAACTGTGAAGCTTGGATCCGTACCTATGCCATATACTTAATATAACTGTAACTTGTCACCATCACTAGTTTTTTTTCTTTAGTCTAAAAGTAGCATGAAATACTTTGCAGCCAATCTCTGCATATGTATAAAAAGAAGTTTACAAACTTTGACTTTGTACTGATTTAGGGGGTTTTGTGCTTTCGGGTTTTGTCTCTAACATCTTTCTGTCAGAAACTTGGAAGGGTTTTTTTTTTTTTTGCATAATAACGTGCTAGAAGTAAAGCTCAGCGTTACTGACGTTGTTCCGGATAACGCTTAAGGAACTCCGAACTGGTGAGCTACAGAATACCAGTAACTGAGTGTCCCTTATCAAGGGTTCTATTAATTTCATTTTCATCAGGTCTTTAAATCACACGTAATTTCTTTTCAGTGTTATATGTATCATGAAGTAGATCTGTCCTTTCTAATAATCTGGTGGACCTCTGTGTTGTTTACCTTCATGACATTTAAGATATGATCTCCAAATAATCTCACCTTTGATTCAAAATCCCAGACAGCTGCAGAAAATACCATCTGTCAGTGACTAGTATTGCTTCAGGAGTGTGTTTTCTTCATGTATGTAACTCTACCAGGCAGACAAGGAAAGAAAAAGTATCTAGCAAAAGAGGGGAAATAGAGTGGTGCTACCAGTTATGGAATTGAATGCTTAGAAAGAAATAAGTTGAGCTTTTTTTATGTGATACAAGGACACGGAGCTTTGCGTTCACCAGTGTAGGCACAGTGTACATATGCTGATTTTTTTTTAACCGGATGTCCTTAGGATAGGTTATACAATCATACAACAAATAAATATGTAATCAATGTTGTTATCTGACCAAAAAATGTGGCTGTTAATCCTGACATATGTTTTGGATGTAATGGGGGGAAAAACACTGCGGTGCTTTACATCAGCTTTCAGCGAGCAGTGTCGTATGTTAGACTCGTACCCGCGTTATATCTATCTTTTTGTTGTTAGATACGTTCATAAAAGAAAACAAATGTGAAGCACATTAGTGTAATTAAGGACTGGAGGAAACCCATTGATCCTTATTTGAAACTGCTGATAAATTTATCTTTACATCATTGCTGGATTGCTTCAGATGATCAGATAGAAGTCAGTTCAGCTATCTTCTTTCCCCTATGTCTTTGGGTTTTGCATTTCTGAAGAACACGTGTAGTACATTTTCATTATGTTATTCACTGCCTGGGAAGAAATCAGTGGGGAAGAGTATGGGAGCAGCGAGAGAGGGAGGAGACATGCTATACGTTTTTTGGAATCTGAAAGCACGGTGTTGAAACCACATGCTTCTTATTTGCTCTTAGGTTTTCAGAAAAAGCAACGATGGAATGGTTGCAGCTCTTTGAAGGTAGTGGGGTTCCATATGGCCCAATCAACAATATGCAGCAAGTATTCTCGGATCCTCAGGTTGGTTCTCACCAAGTCTTTTCTATACATTATTGCACGTGTTTTACAAATGCTGAGTAACGATCACTTTTCCTGCCACTCAGACCTGATTTCAGCTACTCTAAAATGGGATTTGAGAGTTATATGCTGGATTGAGTTTAAGCCAATAATATGGCATAATAAGAAATAAATACAGATCCTTAAATGAATTATGTGCTTGGGAACAGAGATTTTGCCATAATGCATTAAACCATAGGTAGTCCATGTCTTGTATGGAGTCTGTCTTTCCAAAATGGCTGATAAAACAGGGAAAGAAACTGTAATATATTATGTAATTGCATTTTGTCAGATAAATATGCAGAAAAGTACCTTTCACATACAAGTAACCGATTTTCTGTATGGAGTATGGATAACCAGAATCTATACTGTTTGAAAAAAATGGGCAACTTTTTGACTAGAAAAAGAAAAATGAAGCACAAAAGTCATATGCAGGAAGATTTTAATCTTTTCTTGGCCTGGTGGTTTCCCTGGCTGAGAATGCTTCAGTTTTTCTATTTATTTATTTAAAATTTTAAGTCTTTCACTGAATTGTGTCTATACTAATTATAAACAACATTTTTACTTTTGAGTATCTCTGGAGTTACATTACTTGCATATTTACTGATCCCTCCCCTTCTTCTCACCCTCTGGCTTATGATGGGTTAAAGGGCCCAAGACAAACTGAGTTATACTGTCTTGAATAGTGGAACAGAGTATTTTATGGCTATTGTATTGTGTGTTGAATCTCCTTTAAATTAATTTCTAATGATGAGAGTAACCAGAAAAACGATTGACTGTTGGAGGAAAAAAATAAAGCAGCCAATTTTGTATGCATCCATGCCTACTGTCAAGAAGCGTTTGTCAGGATTGTGAAAATGATTGTAGTCTTTGGCAAAGAAGAAGAGGCAAAACAATCTCTATCATAAGGGAATATGTTTATAATAAATGTTTGTTATAAATATGTTTTTTATACTTTTAGAGGTATAAGACAATATTTGTTAGGCTTACTGCAAGGAAAGAAGGTTTTTTTCCGTAAATAAATGTGTTCTTTCTCCTTAAAATGATGTAGTACCATGCTGTGAAGTATGCATGGGCCAGATTTTTCACTTCATAACTTTCAGAGGGATTAAGGTTGGGCTTTGAAGAACATACAGCAAGAGTCTTTATTTTACTTAGAACGTGGTTGACTTGGCTGTACTTGGGGCAACATTGCAAAAATATACTTTGCTTTTTTTTGATGGTGCGAATTTTAAGAAATCGGGTCCACTCTGAAAGAGATGGCTTTTTAAAACATAGCATGTTATGGGATGGCCATTACCTCCCAAACTGAAAAGGGGTTAGCTTGGTTACCTTGCTCTTGTTAGAATTCACCTAAATGTTGTTTTTTATATCTATTATTATTACATATATATTCTAATTATATATATTATTTATATATATGTGTCAGATTATTACCTGACATAGTTAGCCTATCCATAAAAGGTATTGCAGTGCTTTGCAGTCAGGTATGACCATATGCCAGGTTTTTGAAAATATTTTCCCATAAGGGGGCATGCTGATATCTCCCGCCCCGCCCCCGCCATGAAATTGCTTGAAAACGTTGTCTTTTCTACACCTTTCTCTGAAATAAGCGGCACTCAGACACTGTGTTCTTATTAGTGTTGGAAATGAAATGTCAGTATTTGTGGCGATGCTGCATGTTATATGTTTGTTTCATTTCTGGTGCTGCCTGCTTCCTTAAGCATTTTCTCACAGTTATTGTTCTGTTCAAGGGGAGGGGGAAGACTGCAGTTCTTTCCTCTTCCTTCTTGAAATATGGAAAAGTGTTGACGTTTCAAGGCATTGCTTTTATGGCAAGATACTTACTTTACATCACTAATATAAAATTAAGCCCCCCACTCCACCTTTAAATATCTGAGAAGCCATCCAGCAGATGAGCAATTTGGAGAGTAGCATACTCTGCCTCTTAAGTATATTTTTCTAATTTCTGTACAAATTTTTATTTTGGTGGTGAAGACTTCAGACCTTCACAGGTGGCTTCATTGCCCTAAGTCACTTATCCATAGCTTGGATTTAGAGGCTTAGGGACAGTTCAAGCAAAGCTTTTCACCTTTGCATTTCTTCTGTACTGTAGTTTTTTGCCGTTGTACCTTGCCTAGTCTCCCTCCACTTGCTTATCCTTCTGCTCCTGTATAGACAGCATGAGTCTGGGGTAAGCACATGTGCTTGTGTATAGCTTTGCTCTTTCATAAGCCAGTCTGCAATTTTGGTTTCTGAAACGTCAAAAAGTGTGGCAGTGCCCTGAGACTATGCCTAAGACGAGGGAAGAAGTCTAGCACCACCTGAGAATCCATAATCTAGGTATCCTCTGCACTATGAAATCCCAGTTATAACAGGAAAAAAACCAGTACCCACCATCACCAACATATTGTAATCACAGCAAGATTTTTCTCATGTGTAAAGCTCAACACAGTCATTAAGCGTGAGAACTTTGTAATCATTCTTCACAGTGCTCCCATTATAATATAGTGGGTTTTTTCAAGCTCAGTTTAGATGAGAAAATGCATTTCTAGGAAAGATGTCACTCAGCTTGCATTTAATAACCTTACTTACTATTATTGTATAGCAAGTGCAAACAGTGTGATGTAAAATGAGTTTATCATAACCCAGTAATCAGCTTTTCATTTGCTTTCAACCATTGCAAAGACTCCAGAAAAACATTAAACCTGGTGATACTTCAACATATAGAAACTCTAAGCTACCTCTACTAGATAACACCCTGGTTTTGCTAACCTCTTCCATTTTGGGCGGTACCAGCAGAACTGGATCTAAACACAATTCCATTTTTTAACTTCATTTTGTTGCCATTGTCTTCCTATTTGATCTATGGATTTTGATATCCATAATGTAACAATCATTCATTTTAAGTGCAGTCTCGCGCCATTAGTGACCAACATGCGCTGCATGGTAGTCGGCAATCATCAAAGCCTGTGCCAGCTCAGCTGTTAGCAATGCTGCAAAGGGTACACTGGGCTGGTACCAGCCAAAGACAGAAGTCCTGGGAGGGGGCTGGACTAACGCAAGGGAGGAATGGAAGCAAGTCTGAGGAGATAGGAAAGACAAGTAAAGGAGGTGACTGAAATGGTCTAATGGAACTTAGTCAGCTACAGGTGGGTCGTGTTTTTAAATTTTATTTTATTTTAACTAAAAGGACTTCAGAGCTCTGAAGGCCAAGAGTGGTTTGTATAACTGCTTCTATAAACTGAGATAAAACAACACATTTTTGATCCCAGGACATTTTGTTAATAACATTAACAGCTTCAGTCATACTCCAAGTGAGCTGCCAAAAAACATGAAATTTTTTACTAAGTTGGAGTGCCAGGTGATACTGTTTTTTCCATGAATGGAGCGAAACATCCACTTTTCCCACTGATTATAATCTTTTATTCATTTGTGAAGTTAAAATGAATACCACAGGCGTTTGTACTGCTAAGTCAATCAGTCTGGATAGAAGTATATGTGTACTTGTGCATGTACGGATAAAAAGGCTGAGAGAAAAAGGAGCAGATTCACTAGTTAAGGGAACAATTTTCTTGAAAACGAGAGCAAGGAAAGAATGTTTGTAAAAGTTCTTACAAACTCTTAAAAGTACAGTATAGAGTATTTTAATGAAGCTTTTTATAGTCAAACTTTTTCAAGCTATTTTTTAAAAATGTGTTCTTTTAACCAGGCCAAGATAGTACAAACATTAAAGGAATTCTTAAAACGTTTTAAAAACTTACTAGTGACCTCAGTATGGTCCCATTTAACATACCCTGGGGAACATGTGTATGAAATACAATGTGGTTTGAGGTTTTCCAAACAAAACAAACTTAAAAGAGAATACAATTTTTAATAGAAACTATTCAAATTCTCCCAAAAGATAAAACAACACAAAACCAGGTACGCACTGTACTACAGCTAAGTATGAAAGAACAAAGATCTTTGGTTATGTGAGGGTACTGAAGGGTTTTTTTGTTTTCTTTAAAACATTACCCTCCCCTTTTTTGCAATGTAATTTCTTTCACAGTTCTTATACTGCATTATTACTTTAATTAAATGTCTGGCATATATAAGAAGCAACAAAACAACCCAGAAATGTTATGGGCAGTTGAATAAATTGTTTGTTGTCTGATGTTTTACCAGATTAAATCCATTCATGTTGATGAATTTTTACTATATGAATGCTGCCAGCTGAAAATAAATATGAAAGCCATGCAGTGGTACTTTCCCTCCCCCCTGCCTCAAAGCAGTTACAGTCATACCACACAAGTTGAGTACATCAGGTGTAAGACATCACCCTGATGCATCACTTCTGAGAAATATGGGGAGGGAAATATCAGAGCTGAAATATCACAGCTGGCCCTGATTTCAGCTCCTGCCAAACACCTGCAGACTCTAAAAGGATACCAAAACAAAACTCCACCCTGTGGCAAGAGGCCATCCCTTAACAACCCTTCCCTGACTTTGCATCACTATAAAAATTAATTTAACATTTTTTACAGAAACCTTAGTCTTCCTGTCCCAGAAGGCCATTACAGTTCCTTAAGCCATTTCTCTGAATATGCCTGAGAAAAAAAGAAACCCACAGTAAATTGAAGTATTGAAATATCTGATAGCTGGAAATTATCTGATGTTTTAAGTTTATTATTTGTGGAAACTTGTGAAGGTGGTAGTTTTTTTTATTAACCTCCAGATCGTCTCTTATTTTGGAAGTCATTTCACTTGAATGCATCCTGGCAAAAATTTCCTAGCATCTGGTAAAAGCTTCTACAATCAGGGTTGTGAACACACAGAACAGCAAAAGATGTAAAGTGTATTGTTTTGTTGGTTTTGTTCTTTTTTTTTTTTTTTTAAACCATCTTATGCATGGATGTTGTTGGTTTGGATTTTTGTTTCATTTTTTTTTTTTTAAATATGACCGTGTTTTAATTGTTACTCTT